AGGACCTTGGCTTCCCAACCTGGGCTTGGCCTCACTAATCATTCTCGCCAGTTTCAGTAGTGCGGAAGTCCTGGCAGTTGGACGAAAGGATTTGGGACAAAAGAAGAGATTTTTCGGCATGTGAGTGATTATCACTGATCGCCAAGCATCGGGATTCTTAGACTCCTTGAAGGAGAAGTTGATGAGGTGTGTCAATGCAAGGGCTAACTGAATAGGGCAGGATTTCAGGAGCAACGGTGAGAGCCCATCTGGCCCGGCAGCTGATGAACTTCGAACCTTTTTAAGATGTTTCATCACTGTTGCCACAGACACAAGAGCAAAGACACTTGGTAATAAGGAAACAGCGTTTTTCATAAGATGGGAGTCGGTAGGAGTGTGAATGGAGTTTGCATTTAAACGGTCCAAGTTTAAGTCAGTATTGACATGTGCTAGTGTACTGCGTTGACCTATGAGACGCTTAAGACGCTTCCAAATTGCATCCGCGGAGAGAGGGGAGACGAAAATGTAAAAATCTGACAAACAAAAGGTAGGTCAGCCTGGAAATCTCACGTATTATTAGGACTTTTAAATCCTTTAGTCTTCCACTTACACATTTTTGCGTCTCGAGGCTTTTAGATGGGGAGAGGAAATTATATCAGGTCTGACCACAACAGTGTCAAGAGGACAGCAGATATTAAAAATGTCATCCAAAAAGTTGTAAGATAACTGGGGTATGACTCGACGTTCGAGTGCTCAAGAAAGGAGGGAGGGTTTTCTGATATGACGGTCTGGAGCAAGCAAGTATTATATGTGGACGTGTCGCAAACCTCAAGTTTCCTCTCGGATTTTGCTACCAGTGCTTTCTTAGAACTGCAATAGATGGTTTGCGGATCCAATAACACAGAATGTTCTGAGCCTGACAACGGAGCTCTATTTTTTGACAGCAAAAAGCTTGGGATATTTGGTCAATATGTGATCAAGAGGGGCGTCAGCACGAGTGCTAAAGGAAACTAAGTCGTCAAAACCTAAAAACGTAAGGGGGTGTAGGTTTACGCAGTTGGAGTCACCACATAAAATAATAACATCCTCGCGAGGCAGCGTGGCTGAATGGACCGTAAATGCTTGCAGAGCGTATACTGATAGATATCGTCAACCCCTTCGGTTTTCTGCGGACTCTCTATCCACTTATCTCATTCCGTAGCCCCTCATAGGCCACTTTTACCTCTGTTATAGGCTGAGGGGATCGTTTTCATTGAAAACGCAAATCCAATTATGTAGTAGTAGCCTTACCCCTTACCTATGGGTTTAATTTTTCCGAATAATCGGCGTCTGCTCGTTTTTCGTCTGCACTTATGTAATCGACCCATTTTTAAGTTTTTGCTGTACCAATGTATTTCTTAGTTGTTGTAATACCAAAAAGGGTGTTCTAATTTGTCGCCTATATTCCTCTTAATACACCTTCCCTTTTCTTACCTGTACTTTGAACAGTCTGATAAACCGATTTGGTGTAATTTGGTGTGTAACTAAGAGGAACGCCATTTGCAAAACATGAATTACCGGCGGTACCATGTTGATCGGGTTAATCCGCGAGACGTTCTTCCAAGTCGTCACACGATATTCGTTCGAGGTCTTCCAGGTTCAACTAACGTTGATGCAGTGAAGTTTGTTTATTAATTTCTTTTACGAGTCGTGTAGAGATTATTTCTCAAAGGAGACGAATTCGAAGTGTTCAATTGCTTTTTCTTCAATGTCGGAAGATAGGGTCCGCTTCTCAGTTGCTGTTCGTTTTAAAACAAATGAGCAGGCACGAGAAATGCTTGTCAAGTAAGCTAGCTAATTAAAATTAATCCTTCCAGGTACAACGGCAAGAATTTGATGGGCCATCCCGTTGAAGTTACCTGGTTTAAAGACCTGAGAAAAGCTCGAGCTAGAAGTGAGACTATTTTATTTATTAACTTTCTAGTCAACGAGGATCGTACTGGGCGTTTCCGGCCCTTCAGAGGCTTCGCACGAGGCCCTTTCAAAGGCTC